AAAGTTATGTACTAAACGAGAAATCATCAAATACAATACTCACAGTGAAAAAAAATCAGCGTTTGCCGAAAGAAACATTCGATCGCTGAAAAGTATTATGTACAAATACTTGGAGTTTGAATGGACTTACAGTTATATTGAAAAATTACAAAGTTTTGTTCAAACGATTAACTCACGCGTTAATAGAGTTACAAAATTGGCTCCAAACAAGGTCACAAGAAAACATGTACCTGCTTTAGTTTCATTAATTGCAAACAGTTCATCGAAGTTGGTACAGAAACCAAAATTTTATGTTGGTGACTATGTGCGAATAGCGAAGACTGACTTGCCTTTTAGAAAAGGTTACAAGCAGATTTTTACAGACGAAGTTTTTGAAATAGTTGCCATTCCTACTGTAAACCCTCCAACATACAGTCTCATTGATGCGGAAAAGGAAGAAATCAGCGGAAAATTTTATGAAAAAGAACTTAGTTTAATTGGAAACAAAGCTGATTATAACGAAAATGGGCAGTGATGAGTTTACTGTACATTTGATTTCAACAGCATCAATGGATTATTTCCCAGACAACACTTTGGCCAGTTTTAGAATTTTTTGTAAAGAAGAAATAGCTTTAGACGGAGATTGGAGAGTTGCTCTCTCAGAAATAATTTTCCCCACAAAATTAAACAATGTTACTGATGAGGAATTTACGTACTTCAGAGCATCCGAAGTAGTAGCCAGTAAATCCAACGCTGGCAATCGGAATACAATTTCCAGACCCTACTATGGCGAAAAAGTTTTTATCAAATCAGGAGAGTACACTTTTATAGAACAATTGATTAATGAGATAAAAACAAAACTCAAAGACAAAATTCATTTTGATGCGAGTCCTCAAGAAATCACGAATAGCATGAGCATTTGGATGAACGCAAATGAAGGAATCTCATTCCCAAGTCCCCAAATACCCAGTCTGTTAGGCTACAATGAAAAACTTGATGAGAACGGTGAATATCACATTGGTTACAAAATGATACCCTCCTTCGATGCATCTTATGAGGGAAACGAACTGTACGAATCTCATTTCCCATATGACTTATCAAGTGGGACAAGTCTAATTTTTGTCTATATTGACATTATTCAATACCAAACTGTTGGTGATGCAAAGGCCCCATTGTTACGCGTCATTGATTCAAATAGACGCATCAAAAACGGTAGTGCCTGCAGCATTGAACCTAATCATCGAAAAAACTTCACTAATTTAGACTACAAAAAATTATTCACTTCATCTGTACAATCAATATCGGTACAGTTGCGCGCAGAAACTGGAAGACTAGTGCCCTTTGCAGGAACTGGTAAAGTTGTGTTGACCCTAAAATTCAAGCGCTTTGATTGAAAACCAATGGAACAATATTATGCAAAGCAAGCTTCACTTCCTCATTTCTCTGGACACTACCGACAACGCGGCAGTGGATTTGGCGCTTTGGCTGCTGGTATTGGTCGTGTTGCTATACCGTTTGCACGACGGGTTATTCTACCGGCTGCGAAAAAACTGGGCAGAGAACTTTTGATGAGTGCAGCGCCAGAACTAATTGATGTCGCTATGAAAAAGAAGTCTCCTAAACAAGCATTGAAAAACACTGTCACAAAAACTGCAAGAAAACAACTCGGTGGTGGTAGACGACGTCGTCGAAAGACACCAATGAATGGATTACGAAGAAGAAGGTCAGTAGGGGCTCGAAAAAGAAAAACAACCATTCGAAGAAAAACCAGACCAGTGAGAAGTCGAGCAGATTTTTTCTCAAACATAAAAAATGATCGCTAATTTGTTACCCAATGAAGCTACCCATAGCTCTCTGGATTTGTTTGAAAAACAACCTCTTTTGATTACTTTTGAAAACGCTTTTGATCAAAAAATTGGACCTGTCTATTCACCTAATGGACCAATGCTTGAATTTGAAATCACCGGTGACCGTAATAATTTTGTTGACCTGCAAAAAATTTATTTGGAAATACGATGCAAAGTAACGCAATCAAATGGAGCTGATCTGCGATACGACAACACTGATCCTACTGTGTCTGATTCACCGTTCCTCGTAAACAACTCCCTGTATTCCCTTTTCTCTGACTGTACCCTCTCTGCTAATGGACTCAAAATCTCAAATGCCAATAGTAATTTTGCGCATAAAAGCTTTATTGGAACAGAATTTTCTAACAGCAAAGGAGCCAAGGACTCATGGCTTAAGTGTCAGGGATATCGTTTTGAAAACAATCCCGCTGCAATAGATGCAGCTGATTTCACATCTCAACGAGAACTGGTCCGTGAATCGAGGGAAATTTGGTTCTATGGACCCGCTGGAGTTGATTTTTTCACATGTGACAAGCATTTGTTGAGCGGTGTTACCCTCAGACTTTCCTACAGACGTTCTCATGAAGACTTTCTCATTATATCGGAAGATGCTGCCAAGCATTACAAGCTGCAAATACTCGAAGCGAACCTATATGTTAGAAAAATGACTGTGACTGACCATGTGCTCTCTGCCATTGAATCAACTTTGCTCAAAACTCCTGCGAACTACCCATATCAAGAAGAAATTACAAAAACATTTCTTGCAACAGCTGGTCAGCGCAGCTGGCAACAGGAAGATATTTTTGCTCGTGAACCGGTGAGACAAATTATCATAGCATTGAACACAAATAATGCATTTCTAGGAACAAACCGAACGAATCCTTTTCATTATCAAAAATTTGGATTGGAGCAAGTTACTTTGAGACGAAATGGTTTACCAATAGCAAGTACACCAATCAGTACACAAGATCATAAACGTCTCTTCTTCAACACGCTATCAGCGCTGGGTTTGTTGCACTGCGGGCTGGGAATCACTCTGGATAACTACCAACAGCACTTTATTATGTGTTTTGATCTCACTAGCACACAGCAGGCAGCTCATGACTTCTTGCATCCAGAACTTACTAACTGCTCAGTTTCACTCGATCTTCAATTCTCAAACGCTTTGACAGCAAACCTGGAAATTTTTGTTTGGGGTATACGCTCATCCAATGTATTTATTACCTCCGACCGCAAAGTTACAAAGAACGTCCTTCCCATTTCGACAGTCTGAAAATGGATGAAACCCAGTTGCAGGACCTCATTCAGAATTGTAAACATCTGAAATATAAGTTTTTTGGAGTATTTGCAGCCGACAATTTTCCACCTCACATCCCAAACAATATCTTTATGATTGTGAACACTTCAAAATCAGATTCTCCGGGGACACATTGGATTGTGATATGCAACAGAAGAAATGTTTTATACTTCGCTGATCCTCTCGGTCTTCCTCTTTGGCAGTACACCAATCTGTATAAACGATTGAACGAGAATTTTCATCAAGTGACTGAATTGATGACAAACTTTCCCATGCAAGACTCAAACTCTACCATGTGCGGTTCTTTTTGTATTTATATTGCACATTTGATTTTTGATAAAAACTTTAATGGTGATGCTTCTGATTTTGTTTACATAACTGATCATGTTTTGAAACGTTTCCTAACTCACATGCTTACCCATTAACTAACCATTTAATATTGTTGATATATACATTTTACAATTTAATTTTGAACAATACAATCTTTTAGTAATTGAAATTTTACCCAATTGTTAACTGAATAGCAGTAATTCGAGAAGTTAGGCTTTTTATCAAAGTGAGAAAAAAAGTACAAAATCGATCTATGGGGGGACATCACCATACCAGCAACTGTTGCCTCCTTTCAGTACAATTTCCGGACGGGTTTCGAAACGCCGCCTTTCGGCTGAGAGTCGAGCGCCATGCGTTTTCCTCTACTCGGACCCCAAGAAATTTTGTTCCACTTCAATTTTATAGTAACAAGTTAGGTACAAGTCTTAGAAATGATTGCAGCAAAATTAATGGGCACTTTTGGCTTTCATCAGTGTTCTCGTTTTTCAAGATCTTTAGACACTTCAACCTTTTAGCTCTTTCAATCTTTCTATAAAATCAAAGCTTTTGTCATAGATTTCAGACGTTTATTTTTCAGTCTCCTGTAGACACGGAAAATGGAAATGTCGAAATTTTCAAGCCAATTTCATTATTTTAGAGTTTTCGGTGTTTCGTAATTTTTCCTTATTTTTTAGCTTCATTTGGCTTAAAGTAATTTTTCATTCTTATTTTGGTCATATTGATTTTTGCCTAAATAGAGGTGGCGGCCGCCGCACTTGACGAATTTTCCTTTCTTCGAGATTCAGTAATAAAACATGCATTTTTGAAGGAAATCGGTCACCGCAGGCAACAGTTAAGCTACGCTGCCAAAATCTTGTGCTTTCCTATATACCATATAGTTTGGTCGCATATAATAGGTATATAACGCCATTTTACATGTAAACAAATCAATACCCCCAAACTTTAGAAGGGAAAACATGCACCGACCAAAACCTAATTCCATTCCCGTTTCCACAACGTTCAGTGGGAATACTCAATAATATACCGAAGTTTTACATGAGGACTATTAGGTATAAAACTATACATGGTGACAATTAGGATTATTACATAGTGACCATTAGGTATAAAATTATACATGGTGACAATTAGGATTATTACATGGTGACCATTGCTGATCATTTAATACATGGTGACCATTATGATTTATACCTAATGGTCATCCATGTATGACAACCCCCCCCGATCCTAGTGCACTATATGCATACTACTGATAATTGTGTATGCCTGTATTTTTGCACTTGTGAGAGCAAGTGTCTTACAGTCGGGAGACTTTTTTCTAGAACTTTTCTTTTTCAAATCCCAAGAAATTTAACTTGTTTCATTTAAATTTTAAAATTAAGTGGCGAAGATCTGCGGTTACCCGGAAGATCTTAGTTGATTGACACTATTCCAATTGCCTGATGGCCATAGTTTAAAATTTATTGCTTGTTTATTTTTTATTGTTATAACTTTTTTCTCGCTTATTTGAAACTATCCACATAACTAATAAAAATACAAATTTCAGACAATGGCTTCTAAATCCGTTGGCAAACAAGTCATTGACTTTTTATCCAAATGTACAGACCCATTTCACACAGTGGCACATGTTGAAGCCACTTTGGCAGCTTCCAGATTTGTAAGTCTAATTGAGAATGAAGAGTGGACTGACTTGAAGAGAGGAGGTCATTACATGGTCAAGCGGAACTCTAGTTCAATCTGCATGTTCTCAGTAGGAGAGAAGTACAAACCAGGAAATGGCATCAAAATGATATCCGGTAAGCTGCTTTCTAAAATGATTTAATGAACCAGGCCAAGCTGTTCGATATGTTACCAAGGCTGCAATTTTTTTTTATTATTCTTGATCTTGAAGCATTTTTCATTGAGAAAATGTGAATATTGAGAAATGTGGCCGACCAGATTCGAAAGTTTATTGCGTACTGTAGATTTTTAAGGAGTGGGTCGTGGGTGAGTGTAAAGGTGTACAAAGTTAAAAAATGAGCAAACAAGGAACTGCTGAATTTTATTTAAAATATCATAAATACACAGGAAGTTTTCAATAATCACAGTAATAAAATTTTTTAGCATGCAATATTGATGCAAGTTGGGCAGTCGTATATGACAAAAGTTCACATTTGAGCCGCCTCTAAATCCTCATTTCCTGACAATCTTTTCTAATCTCTTGCACAGAAGAGAGCAGCAAATAGTGTGAACAAAATCACCAACCCATTGCTGAGTTGATCGTACGCGGTGTTGAGTTTGTCGTCGATGTCTCGAAAACTTCTGTAAACCGTTCTTCCTGCTAGTGGTTGTGGAGGTCTGAAGTTGCCAGTAATGTTCATGTAGCCGACATTGCGTTCTTTCACGAAGTTGTGCAGCTCGAACAACTTCTCAGCCTAGAACACTTATTATAGCGAATACATCGTCGAACCAACAATCCCTTGTTCTGGTTGCACTGAATAATTTATCGATGTGTATACAGGGCGGCGTTGAAAACGTATCATAATAATTTCACACCCTAAGTTAAATTGGATGAAAAAGTGTGAAAGTTGACATATTAACTATTTTTATGTCCACTTGATAGCATTTTAGTATCTATCTTAAGTGTAAAAGAACGAAATGATTTTCACTTACATAGCTTTTGATGATTTTTGTTTTTTTTTGTTTCACGAAAAGTCTAATCAAAGCTCTTATAGTTACACAGTGAATTCATACATATTAATACATTCATGAATGCACTTAGTTATATATGATTTTTAAATTTCAATTCAATTTCATCTGGTATAAAGTAAATTGCCCACTCCAATTACGAAAGCTAAAAGGCGCAAAAAAAATATCGACAATTTTGTCGACCTTTTTTTAAAAATTGCAGAAGCCAAACCCCCCCCCCCCCCCCAAATCACAATTATTATTATTATGTTTATTTGATTCCATTCTTATTTTGAGTTTCTGTGTTAGTATGCATTATAGTTATGTCTGAAATGAATTAAATAATACATTTTTTTATCCAAAAAGAATATGTATGTAGATGGCCCGTTGTTCCAATTTGTTCAGATTTTTGACCTTGGAAATGCAAGGTTTTCTCGAGCGTGTGATTCAAACAAGGCTAAATAGTTTTTTCTGCGGCGTAAGTTCGTTTAAGTTTTGACCACTTTTTACGTTATCATTGCAAAAAAATTGTCTTTATCATGTAACTCAAAGCAGACCTTCAAATTGAGAAACCTTGTTGATGTCAGAGAATCACCCGTTGAAAGATTTTTCGTACATCAAAAATTTAAAGGTACGTTTTCAATAAGATCATAAGGTTTTCATAAAGTGCTTTTACTAAAATAGATCATGTTTGAGAATAACTTAGTAGTTTGGCGGTTTATTACTAGATCATTGGCTCTCGGAAATGACTCAAATCGAAGTTTCTGGCCAGGGATATTTGAGCGGAGCCACTAAGTCTATTTCAGTTATTACCTGGTCACGGGAGATGTGGATGGGGTTGTTGAAGATGGTCCAGACCACAAACTCATAGCAGGGCGGGGAGGTGAGAGAACCCTGGTAGCGGTAGTACTCGGACAGGTTGTCTGAAAACAGAAAGTAATAGTATTCTTCATAATGATTGATTTCATTTGAGCCCATACAACATTTGTAAGTATTCACATCATTCTTAAGATTTAGATTATCAACAGAAGAGCATATATGAGACAATCTTTGTGAGTTCAAGCGCTATTTTAATCGAAAACATTCGTTTTATTATCAGTTTCATGATCTCCGTGTTTCGCTATTTCACTTACCCGGTAGGAGGTGTCGAATGTCTGCCTTTTTCTTCTCCTGGTTGAAGCTGTAGTTGTGTCCTGCTTCCCTAATGGCATCTGTATGTGACAGAAGATAGTCTATATATTCGTTTGGTTTTTCGGAATCGAACTGAAATGAAATTGTTTCATTTTTACTGTTTGGTTAATGTCACAGTGGTTGCAATCAGTAGTGGTAGCAGCATACCGAGTTATGTGAGATTGTCATTCAAGGAGTTCAGCAGAGCTCGGAAAGCAAAATGGCTTGCCTAAATTTTTCAACCCTATCGAAGCGTTTCTAATATTTTTTTTTGACTTTTTTTACTCAATTGGTATAGCCATAGACTTTCAAGTAGCAATAGCTATGGGCATAGCAATAGACTTTCAAATAAACCAGTATAAATTGTTCGTCCGTCGACCTGATAAACTGTTAATGCACTGACCTTGATGAAAACTGCGAACACTGCCCATGCCTCCCTGTCATAAATCTCCTCCTCAGTGCCAGGCACAAAGTCCACATTAATGAACACACAGTGCATCTAAAACAGGGCGACTCATCAGTCAATCAGAAGAATCAAGTTAGACCCTGCAAATTGTTTGCAGTTTTTTTACCAATAAGATTTATTTTCACTTATTTGTCTCGATGACTTTTTAAGTTCAGTCCACTTCCTCTGTTAACAGAAAGGCGAAGTCCACTATCAAACAGCAAAAGTTTAAAGGTCACGAAAAACGTGAATGGCTTCTAGTTTGACTTATGATTTCTTTCAGTTCATTTAAGTTCAGTCCACTTCCTTTGCTAACAGGAAGACGAAGTCCACTATCAAACAGCGAAAGTTCAAAAGTCACGAAGTACGTGAATGACTTCTAGTTTCAAAAATGGACTTTAATGTTCTGAATTACCAGCGGAACATGAAAGATTTCCTTCTCAGATTTCTCTGAATGAGATAATTTTAAGAAAAGTGCCAATCATAAACAATATGCGAAATTCAAAGAGCTTCAACGTGATCTGTATTTCTTTCGAGTTTCGAAAGTTGATAAATGCTCAAAAATTTCCTATCAATTTTTTTTCGGTTTCCTTGTTCTTCTACACGTTTTCCAACTGTCCGTTGGCTATGTTTTTTATTGACATAATAAATCACAATAGTTTATACTTCAACGAATATTTCTTGTGTATTGTTAGAAATCCAAGAAAAGTTTGACGAATGTTTCAACTTTGAAGCAAAATTAAAGACCTTTGAATGGAAGAAATTGCATAATGAATGAGTATTAATAATTTGGGCTTGCAATAGTGTAGGGTGTTATTGGGACTTGCCTCTGCGTCGTACTGTTTTCCGTTGAGCCAGTGTTCGGAGCCTGGCTTTTCTATGTCCTCTCCCCAGTGGAAGTGACACTGTTTGAGGTAGAACTCGTGTGTCAGGTGGGCTCCGTGCATCCTAATGTGGTTGTCCTTGAACACCAGCTCCACTGGAACAACATCTCAAATATTAATTAGTCTCTTCCTGTTGCTATGCTATTTTATTGCAATGCCAAGCTCTGATTTAAATGCTCTGCACACAAAATGACGAATTATGAAAGAAACACCGGAATTGTTTTGTTGGTTATTTTACTCATTTGTTGTATGATATGGTATTTCAGATTTTATTATATAAAAGTATAGTTTTCGGACGATACTGAGTGTTCTTTTAGCGTTACATATTGATTCATGCCAGCTATAATGAAAATCTGTGATAATAAATCTCCAATAGAATGGATAAGTTCTGTTTTTTATTCGTAGAAGAAATGTAAGTTGTCAAGGTTTGCCCTAATTATCCTTTTTGTGGACTTTTCTCGTTGTTATAGACCTGGTATTTTTTCCTGGTGTTTACCCTTGCGATAAGCAAGGGTATTGCCATCGGGTACTAGACTTGTTTTTCCCGTAAATAACTTTTAGGCACAGAATGGTCAAATGTGTAGGAATGGTAAATTTCAGACTTTTTCAATTTCTCGAAAATTCAAATACAACCACCTTCATTTAGCTAGTAAATAGGTATAGTCTGTTTCCGGTATTAGCTTTTTTCAAATAATTTTCTTGAAAAAAATGTTCGAACTTTTTCGTATTCGTGGTTTTCGTGGTTTTCGTCTTTGGTTCCGTCGGTTCATTTCCCGTTTTCTTTGAAATAAATTTGTTTTTTTTTGTGTTTTTTTTTCGGCTGTTTTGTTAAGCATGCTTTTGAAATTGATGTTGGTAAGCATGAATTTATTTTTTGATTTGGAAATTGAAGTTTGTAACCTGTCATTTTACCAAGTCTGATTTTAAATAATTTTGTTTTTTATCCATATATTTTTTTTCGGTTAAACGGGTTCGGTTTGTTTTATGGCATAATGAAAATATGTTTGCTTCGAGGGCGGAAGTTTCTGTTCGACAAAATCAGGTTTTATTACACTTGCCAGAGCAAGTGTCTGGAAATCGGGAACAAGACTTTTTCAGTAGCTAACTTTTACACGTTTCAACTTTTCTTCAACTTGCTTTTTTAATGAAGCTTCGCAACCACCAGGTTCCTTCCCACTTGGCCTAGAGTGAACGCCGTCGCCTTTGTAGCCTAAGGTCTGGGGTTTGACTCTCGGCTGGACCTTGTTTTTTTCAGTGTGTGGTTTCGGAAAATCGGTGAAAATTGAACTGTTCCCTTATTCTGAAGTTTTGTCGGCTTAGTTGTCACATCACACATCTTTTTTGTCCTGTAAGCAAATTTCATTGCAAGTGCAAGTGTTGTTCTTTGAAGGTTCAGGGAGGTGGACTTGAAAATTTTTAATTTGATTTAATTATTTTTTTGGCGCAACAGTTGTCTGCTCAAAGATCGTCGGCTTAATTGCCACATCTCTGGTTTTTCTTTTTTTTTGTGCTTTGGGCGACTTCCTTTGTAGTTGAAAGTGCAAATGGTGTTCATTCTAGTCTCAGGTGGGTCTTAAAACTGTAAAGATGTTTAATGAAGGCGTTTTTTTTCTGCTCAACTTGTGTCTGCTCAAAGATTGTCGGCTGATTCCTCTTCGTAAGCTGTGATTGTTGCTAATTTAATCCTGTCATGTTAGCCTAGCTTGAACTTCTATCGAGACATACGAAAATATAATTTTTGCTTGAACTAGTTTTTTTCAACGTTTCCATTTTTTCGCCTCTTTTCGTTCTTTTTATGTTTTTGGTAAATCGCAAGTGGTGTTAAGCTCCACTTCGCCTTTATGTGTAATGATGTACTCACTGGTGTGGCCGTTGTTCTCCAACATGAGTACTGAAGTGGGAACATACTCCCACCCTCCATGCAACACAGGTGCAGAAAGCACACGATCATACACCGTCTCTGCCTCCTCTATCTTGATGGGCGACTGGTCGTGGTTGTCCGCACACCTCGCATACATCTTGCCCCACTCCGAGGGATCTGCAAGCATATGAATGTATTATAAAACATGATCAAAATATTAATTTTATAACCAAATCAACCAAGTGATCGTTCTGTTCTTCGATTGGTTTATCTTGAATTCTTATATTATATTATTGCCAATGTGTTTTAAGTTTTTGTTACGCTTGCGATTGGCAAGCGTTATCAAACTGGAATATAGACTATTTTCGGGTTAACAACTTGTTTAACAGAATCAAATAAATCTATTGTATCTTGGCTCATAATTAATTCAAACTTTATGCATTCCAGGCCAACTTAGCCTGGAGGTAACCAATACGCCTGGGACGGATATAAAATTGTCCGCTAATTACGTGTCTGCTTATCTGTTGCCGGCATAGTTGTCACATCTTGACATCGTTTCCTTTTGCTGCTCGCATTTTTTAATGTTGCTGTTAGTGTTTGGTTTAATCCCCCTTTTTGTAATTTCACTTACTTTGACTTTGTATTTCTTTCTTTTTTTTTGTTTCGCTAAAAATCATTCCTCGGCAAATTATTTCGGCCTATTTTTTAATCGGCTTCGTGACATACTTTTGTTTCGTTTATAGGAAAACGCAATTTTAACACTCCCTTCGCTCTTTGCAAATTAGTTGTATGTTTACAATCGGTGTGTTGATTTTTTCTATTATGGAAAATTATTTCCAAATTAATTGGAAACATCTTAGTTTTTTTTCAGAAACTCCTACAGATTTTCAAAAAAGGGGTAGCAATTGAAAGACCGCCTATTTCACTGTGTGGCTGCATACTCCCGTAGAGTCTCCTTTTACTTGAACCCTCTATACCAAGCCTTCGAAAAAGTCTGTGGGGGAAATATTTGACTCATATTTTTGATTTGTTTTTAGTTTTATTGAAAACTACACCTCTCAAGTATGAATTTTTGCTTTCAATGAACAGAACGGTTTTGAAAAGCTTCCTGCATGAGAGGCTACGCCCAAGTTTTTTCTAACAATGTTATGGCCCTCGGATAGTAAAATTTTTGATTTTTGAGTTTTGTGAATTTTTTTTTCTCGAAAACTAACCTCTCATATTTGATACTGTGGGTTCAATGAAAATAACGGTTACTGGGAAACTCCCGTGCATTAGCGGCCACTCACAAAGTGTTCTACTCAAAAAAATTCTTGATGTGAGTTTTCGATTTTTCGACCGTTTTTTAAACTTTTTTAATCTTCTCGAAAACTAGCCTGCCATATCTGAAATTTTAGGTTCAAAAAAGGGTTGTGGGAAACTCATTTGCTTATGGAATTATACCTTAATTTTTTGACACCAAAAATATTGGCTCTCGAAAAATTCACAAATTTGAATTTTTGACAGTTTTTTTTTTAGCTTTTGACCTTTCTCGAGAACTATCCTCTCGAACTATCTAAGATTTTGGGTTCAATCGAAATTTTTGGTTGCGTGAATCCCTTCTGCATAAGCGGCTACGCCCTGTTTTTTACACAAAAAGCTATGATTCTCGGATTTTTTAACAGTTTTTTGAACTTTTTTCGCTAACTATCCTGTGCCAAATCTCAGCCTACCTTTATAACTGGCTATGCCCAGTTTGTTTTAGAAAAAAGTTAAGGCCTTCAAACAAGTCGATGTTTTGAAACTTTGACAGTTTTTTGGAAACTTTTTGCTTTACGTGAAAACTACTGTGCCAATTCTCAGGTTTTGGGAATCTTCTCTGCTTATGCGGCCACAACCTGCTCTTTTTGCAGAAAAATGTGGATTTGGAAATCCGTTCGCTAGAACTTTTGACCGTTGTGTAGAAACTTTTTTAATTTTCTTTTAATTTACAATTTTTAATCTTTAAATCAAATCTGAGATGAAAAATTCAATTGAAAGAAGCTGTTGCGATATTGTTTCATGCAGAAGCGGCGACTTCTTAATTTTTTGTAAGAGAAATGTTATCTCCTTTGGATAATTGATTATCTCAAAGTTTTTTACTCTTATTTCTTAATATAGTAGAGAAACAACTAAGGTTTCGGGTAAAGTCCAATTTTCGAAATCACATTTTTCGTGCAGCACCAGTATAGCCAATTCATTTTTCTATTCGCATCAGTATTTGTATGTTTGTGTTGTATCGCAAGTGGTGCGAAGCTCCGCTTCGCCTTTGTGAAAATTGTCCATTCGTTTGCAAGAATTTGTCAATAATTTGATTAGGTTGAGCCATTGAATACCTAGAGACCTATGCATGAGACCATTTCATTGGCGAATCTAGGTTTTCTTGAGGTGAGTTTTCTAGTTGCTGCAAAAAGATTGAATTGGTGACTCTTCGGGTGGTCAGAGGGTCGAATGCCTGATAAATACCCCATTCAATCTGCCTTTGGACGATATAAATATGGGTACAAGTATGAAAGTAAAGTTCCTATAAAAAGCAAGTATGAAAGATGGGTAAATCATAAAAAAGTGTTTCCGAAGTTTTAAAAAGTTTCTTCTTCTACTCACATGAGTTTTAGGGGCTAAAAATGTTAGGGACCCATACTTGTACATACATATGAATATTATCAATAGCCGCCAAACAAACGCTTCATGGGTCTCGAGTTTGCTTTAGCAACAAATCTTCTAATGTCAGTTGAAGTTTGATCTTACCTCGGATGTGGTATCCGTACCAGTTCTCCTGAAGACATCCGACGTTCAAAATTATACAGGCCACCAAAGTTGCAACAAATTGAGAATCGACCGAAGAGTCCATTGCAAATCTCTGCTCCAAGGACAACAAGGCTGAATTTCAGGCTACGATAATAGATATTTACTTCTTTCAAGAGCCGAGATTCTTTTCTATGTCAAGTTATGTAGAAACACTTATTGACAGCTAATGTAAACGGGGGTGACAAACCCTAAACACATTTACTAGCTCTTTAATAAATAAGAATAAGCCTGAATATATTTCGGCCTTGAAATGCTATTTAAAGAAGTTAGTAGGTCGGATTGATATGTTATTGTTCTAAGCAACCACGCCGAAAGCAACTGCGTTTGCAGAAGGAAATTATTTAAATGCCAGTCTTAATCTAGACTGATTCTTATTGTAAATTGAGGCTACTAAGCGTAGACTCAACGGAAGGTAAAAGAGGCTTGCTGTTACATTTAACAAGTCAGAAAAATAGGTGCCCGCAAGAACAAGCGTTTTTTTATGAATGAATTATGCGTCAGTTGTATAACGCTAGTCTGCTAAAAGAGTCTCAGTTTTCCCTTCTTTTGCTCAAAGATAGTGCTTAAAACAGGTCGCCCACGTAAAGGTACTCTCGTTCAGAAATGCAGCCTCGCCATTTTTAATGAGTCCTATTTAAAAAGCCCTTGTTTAAAAATGTAGTCCGTCAGACCACGTGAAATGTACTTCCAGCGGATAAAAACAAAAGGAAACGCTTCGGGTCGATGGAAGCAGAAGAAAAATTTATAATGGAAATTTTCTATATAAGGTTATCAACAGAAGGCAGTTGTCATAAGTATCATTTCAAAAGAAAAATTTTGAAAGAGTAAAAAGCGTTTTAAAGAAAAAAAAGTTGCCATAATTATCAATTCACTTGCAAAACTCGGAAATTGCCCAAAACATTTTAAGTAAAAAACTCTGATTAGTTTCCTGTTTGAATTTTAAAATATATCTAATAACGTTAATTTTAATAATCTGGGAACACAGAAGATATTTTGGGACCATTTTTTTAAGTACCCCTGTAAATTGAGACAGAATAGGGGAGGGGTTGATGATTTCTGAATTGAAGTCTGCAGATTGTGAATTCAAATGAGCTCAGGTGGAGTTTAATTACGCGAAGGGAAATCGCTCCAAAAGTATAAGTTTCCCTAGGGTATCTAAATGGAGTTATAATTTGCCCAATGCAGCGGAAAAATGGCAGTTTGAAATATGTTCTTACGACGCGCTTTGAGGTCCAACTCAAAGTCTCTTTGATGCATATTTGTTTGATACGCTTTTTAAAAAAATAGAGAGAATCGTTCTTTTAAATGGAAAATGACTTCATGACTGAGAAATAAAATAACCGAATGAAGTTTCTTTCTGCTTTTTAACATAACTCGATGGCCTTCTAAAATTCGATTTTTTTGTGGAAACTATATTGTTTTCATGTCAAAACGTAATGTCATTGGAGGTTTAGAATTTCCTTTGTGCCATGTTACACAAGGGTATTGCAATCGTGTACTTCACTTTTTTCCCGTAAATAACTTTGTTCACAGGACTCATTGACTCTTGGTGGTACCTTGGTTCATGACGAATTCAAATTTATCACTGTATGGTATCCAGCATGGAGGTAACAAATACGTTTGGAAGGCAAAGGTACCGGGTACGAATCTGACCAGGGCCTGTTTTTTCAAAAGGTAAAAGTTCCAGTTTAAATTTTTTCGGCCTATTGTTTGTCGACTTAGTTGCCAGATCTAAGAAACGTTTTGATGCAAACAAGTTTCTCTGTAATTGCTTCAATTTTAGAAATCCGGCGGAATCGAAATTTGCTTTGTACATAGGATGCGATTTTACCAACTCGATTTGTTAAATTCTCGTGTTTCCAGTTCTTTTTCGAATTAATCGGTTTCAGTTTTTTAATATCTACTAGTGGCCCCTTATTGCATCGTTTGATGACCGAAAAACGTTTTCGTGTGCGTGTGTATTGTGAGGGGAAGGGGGACTCAAAATTTTAGATTTTTTGAATTTTTTTCGTCGTGAAGGGCTTCTGCTGAAGTTTTTTTGTTTCCGCTTGGTAAGTTTCGTTCCGATGCTTATTTTGCATTTTTTGTCTTGGCATCTTTTGTTTTCAAAACTATCTGTATTCATTTTGATAGATTGGTTGTATATATAGGTATAAAACATCGATATTCCTTTTTCGCTTATGATTTTTCGGCTTTCGATTTAGCTCCGGTTTCGTTTCCGAATTGTATATACCACTTTGATTTTGGTACCTATATGGCATTCTTGGATACTATTTGGCAGAACATGTATATTTTGCAATAAGATTTTGCTGAAAAATTTTGATGATTTTCATCTAATTGGCTGTCGGCTTTAATTCTGTCTGCTTAATTACTTAATATTTTGTTTCCTACAATTTTCCGATATTATTCATGAGATCCTTAAGATTTTGGTCCCAATTTTAAATTTTTGAATTCCCAAATTCAACCCCACTTGGGACTCTTTAAAAATTTTTTGTTTCTAACTGTTTCTTCTACGGTTACATTTCTCAAGTCCTCTTTGATAGCTCTTGAGTGCCTTTCTGTTTTATTCTTATAAATGTTGTATCGCAAGTGATGCAAAGCTCAGCTTCGTCTCTGCGCCAATAAAATTCATTTTGAGGTCTTACCTCTTGAGATTTAATAAACAAGATACTCTCACTGCCAATAAACATTAGAGTTGAATTAATACAGCCAATTTCTTCAATAAATTTAACCCATCTTCAAAATCTGAGTTTCACCCATCAGAGAAATCACTTGAAAGGCACAAATTCTCAGAAACATCAAAAGATTTGCCGTGCCTCAAAAACTAATGATAACTTATTATTGCGTTTTCAATGTTTTTTATTTTCAATGTTTTCTCGACTGCAAATTACTGTGATGAATTATTGATCAATAAAAAATGTTGCTTATGGTAATTTCTGTTTTAGCACACACTGACTCTCCCTGTCTCAAATTGAAACCAGCTTCTAAGAAATCAAACGAAGGGTTCCAGCAAGTTGGAGTCCAACTTTATGGAGGGGGTATTTGGCACACCTGGTTTGACAGAGACCTATCTATGTCCGGTAGAGTAATCCTAAAGGCAGAAGGACACATTCTGGAAGAAAAGTTAGTCAAGTTTGAGAAACCGCTGCTGAACGTGCCAAATATCTGTATTCATTTGGACCGCGAATACCACAAGAAGTTCTCACCCAATTTGGAGAAGCATGTGGTTCCGATCATAGCTGCTGTGGAAAAACATGAATTGATCCAAGGCTCGAAAGGTTAGCCAGCGACCAATCAACTGTTAAATTTCGTGGTATATACTTTGGTTGATTTGATTTGTTTGGCATCGAACGCCTGAAATAATTATTATCGCTTCAGGGTGAAAGCGGAATATGAGAAATTTTCCAGGACAACTGAGCAGAGATTCAGAACATGAATCGCTTATACACAGAATGAAAGTTTCTGACTATTGAAGCGTTGTTTTTCATTTTTATTTGGCTTTTTGTTTAATGGGACAGGTAAAGGTTTAGGAGATTGTTAAAATATCTTCAACATGAAAAAATAAATTGGAAAATATTTTTGAGTTCATACAGTGCTGATTTAAATTATCCGGACAAAACGAACAGAACTTGAGGTTTCAAACGCGTTTTTCTCAAATTGGGTTAAGATTAGACAAAAAGTGAAGAGAACAGAAGTTGCTTAGAATTTCCTCAGAATTAATATGGTTTAATTTTTTCTCCGAAAATCTCAACCAAAATTTTACCCCAAAAATGGGTCATTTTGGCTTTTTTCAATTATTCAAGAATTACGCTGAAAATACTTTGTTAATTGATAAGAAAATTATATCACAAGAAGCGTTTTACTCAGCCCAACAAAGTTTAAGAAGGGTTAAATCTCCAAAAAGTAGAATAAGAGAAAAATTTTTTACTTGATAGTCAATAAATGTGGTTTTTACTATATAAAACCCAGTACCTCTGTTTAAAAACAAATTTGAAACAATTTGCGCAAACTTTTGGAGATTTGACCCTTCTTAAATGTTGTTGGGCTGTGTAAGGCGCTTCTTGTGATATAATTTTCTTATCAAATAACAAAGTATTTTCAGCGTAATTCTTGAATAATTAAAAAAAGCCAAAATGACCCATTTTTGGGGTAAAATTTCGGAGATTTTCGGAGAAAAAATTACACCATATTAATCCTGAGGAATTTCTAAGCAACTTTTGTTCTCTTCATTTTTTGTCTAATCTTAACCCAATTTGAAAAAAACCTGTTTGAAAAACTTAAGGTTTGTTCATTTTGTCCAGATAATTTAAATCAGCACTGTATCAAAGCAGTGGTGTGCACAAGAGTTTACCGACGGAGCGGTTTTTTTTTTTCAAAAAAGTCTCCCTTTTTTAAAGGTCAATCGTATCGAATTTTCTAGCTCTTCTGCAAAGCTAGAATAAATATATTTAGCAAAGTTTTCTCCTTAAATAGAAAAGACATTTTTGTGGCACTATTTCAAAATAAAAATATATTTTGCCGTTTTAAGAATTTTTATGCATTGGTCGACCAAAAATGGGTACCATAAAATGGCATCAAAACGTATGGCAAACCGCGGTATGCTACTGTTTCAAAGTTATTTCCAGATTCGGAACATTCGTCGTTTGTCAATCAAACCAGTCCAGTTGTGGTTGAACTCTTGAAGAAAGAATTGAGCCTAGAAGACGTGAACTCAATAGTGGATTTTGAACTAGCTCTCTACGATCACCAGAAACCATGTTTGGGTGGAGCGAACGATGAGTTCATTTTCTCTGCCAGATTGGACAACCTTCTCTCCTGCTACATTTCAACTTATGCCTTAATAGGCAAGTGAACCTCTCACGAAACACTTTAGAAACATGGGTGTAAACTCCGCTAATAGCCATATCCATCGGATTGTAAAATTATATCTATTCTATTAGCCCAGGGGCGGATCTAGGATTTTCTCGAGGGATGGGGCGAATTTTCTTAGAGTTCAAAAATTTGTCGATTTTTATCTTTTTTTTTTTAGGTTGACCAAATCGATTTTCGAGCTCACCCAAAGCCCTAAAAAGACCGTTTTGACCAAAATTTTTGCACCGCAGTTGCATTTTAATTGCGTTTTTTCGACAAGCGTTCTTAAACCACCCCCCCCCCCCCCCCCCACTCCCGCCAAAAAAAGTAGTATATATTGGCGCCTTTAGAAAAATTTGAAGGTTAGTCAGCCAAAATGGAGGTCTTAAAATAGTACCAAAGGGGGACCCTTTGGGTAGTCAGGCGGTCGAATCCCTGAGGGGAAGAGGCATGTCCCCCCCCTCTTATCCGCTACTGCATTAGCCACAGTGATTTTCAACTCAGACATGAAGCTCATTCAAGGATTTCAGTCTGCAATAATTCGTTCTATGATTTCAAAATTTACTTGAAGTAACTATTGAAGTACCAGCAAGACTTTTTACTTTTTTGATCGCAGATCAATTAATGAAAACTATTTATGAAAACGGAAAATTAGTTTACTGGCTAGAAGTTATGTTCTGTTTAGACTCTTCAGGCTCTTTGAAAGATGAAGACAAAATTAGAATGGCGTTTCTCTACGATAACGAGGAAGTGGGATCTTTGTCTTATCAGGGTGCTGACTCCAGATTCACAGAGTCCATCATCAGGAGAGTAACAGAGGTTCTCAACTTGCAGCAGTCGGAAAGACCAAGCAATGAATTGTTCGAAAGGACGCTTGCCAGCTCCTTCCATATATCTATGGATGTGGCACATTACGTACATCCGAACTACCCTGAAAAACATGAAGATAACATGAAACCAAAACTAGGCGGCGGACCGGTGCAAAAAATAAACTGCAACCAACGTTATGCGTCATCGAGTCGAAGTTTGGCGGTGCTGAAATCAGTCGCAGAAAGCGAGCAAAATGGAACAAATAAAGTTCCGTTGCAAACATTAGCTGTTCGTAATGATTCGCCTTGTGGGACGACTGTCGGACCGATTCTGGCGGCAAAACTGGGAATAGAAACGGTTGATATGGGAGTTGGATGTCTGTCGATGCATTCGATCAGGGAAACTGGTTATGTTGACGATGTCAATCACGGACTGAATCTGATCACTAAGTACTTCAATAATGCCTTGCCTGTGTTCAAGTGATTATGCAAATTTTAAACGAGTATCAATGTAACTAGATACTAGAACTGCTTTATAATGTACATAGCTTCAAGCAATCTGTAGTTTTTGTCTACTTTTTCAATTGCTAATTTAAGATTAATAGCAATATTTCTTATGGGCGATGAATGCAAAGCGAGATTTAAATTTTTAATCAAGTCCAAACAAGAAAATCAAACAATTAATTATACTAAACAACTTTTGACAATCAATTTATTCTAAGGTTCCGCGAAATTGAACATTTTGTCGTAACATGAAAAGATTATTCCTTGAAAATGTAACCAACAAGCTGCATATTCAATTATATGTAGTTACTGTTTTGGACATGCAAAAAATTTCGTTTTGTTCACAGGATGGTTAAAAAAGGTGATCATCTCCAGTTCTGTAGTTTCTTAAACTAACGGAACGGACTGCTACTACTACTATTACTACTACTACTACTACTACTACTACTACTACTACTACTACTACTTCTACTACTACTACTACTACTACTAAAAGACTTAAATTCCCTTGCTGTAATTACAAGGCATTAAACAAATTAAAATAAAATATTTACAATCTACAGTTTGAACAAATGCATTTAAGATACCATGAGCAGGAGTTTTCAAATGCAAAAAGTTTTATTCTTTCAGTTAGATGTATCCTGATTTGAGATTTGACTCTTGGACACAGTCGGAGGCGAAAATAAACTGATTTCGGTCTTCTTCGTAATGTAATTGCTGGAACGTGTTATTCGTTGAAAGAAAGAACCATCGGTAATACGTTTGAAGCTTCGATGATTCCATAAAAAGAAGGGTCGTAGCTCGGGTTTTCCAGATACTCGCTTGTAGTCCAAACTCAGAAATCGAAACGGGTCCAAGTCATAGTCGCGGTGAAGAAGCTTGTTGAAAAAACACAGGTCATAGAATATAATATAGTAGGATATTGGTAGGCATCGGGTCGTCTTCAAGTTCATTAAGTGGTCTTGACAGCGCGTTGTCCATCTCAATGCCCTTTTGTGAAAAGTCTCCATTTTGCGTAAACAACACAGAGATGGCGACCAAACTTGGTTAGCATATAACAAACTTGGTAACACGCATAACTTATAGAACTTTGCACGGACAGCAATAGGGCATGGATAGGGAATGTTCCTCATCATGAAATGAAGAGTTTGATTAGCCTTGGTAAGCTTAACATTTGTGTGATCGTTCCGTGATAGATTCGATGATATCAGAAGTCCAAGATCTTTCACTGTGTTTTTGCTAGCTATTGGTAAGACCGACATGCGAAGATTCCTGCAACCATTAGATACAGCGAGAAACTGCGTCTTGTCTGGATGAAGCGTTAGGCCATTTCGTAAAGACCATGCAACAAGCTCGTCAATATCGGTTTGAAGATCTTGCTTCGGCGATGAAGATGTAAGCTTGCAGTCATCAGCAAATAAGAAGCAAATGGAAGAGGAAGTGGCATCTGGAAGGTCATCGATGAAAATTAGAAATAGGAGGGGCCCAACACACTGCCTTGGGGTACACCGGATGTGATTTCGAGAGATTCGGAAAGGACGCCATCAACGCGCACACGCTGTGAGCGACCGCGGAGATAAGAAGAAAGCAGGTCAATAAACTTCTGATCAAGGCCCATAATTGACAATTTATTCAGGAGGAGATTATGCGGAACAGAGTCAAAAGCTTTCCGAAAGTCAAAGTAGACGGTCCATATAGCTATATTTTGGTCATTGCAGGTATAGATTAAGTCAACAAACTCCACTAGCTGAGTAACTGTAGACCTGTTTTTAAGAGATCCATGTTGCGAGTTGCTGATTTTAGCTTTAACGTAGGGATATATGTAATTGAAGATGCTTCTCTCAAGTACTTGAGAGAGTTTAGGAAGAATGCTTATTGGTCTGTAGTTCTCAACGTCAATAGCAGAACCAGGTTTAAAGATTGGAGTAATGAACGCACATTTCGAGAAAGAGGGCCAGATACCATAGCTCAAAATTGACTGGAACAGCGAGCAAATTATCGGGGCAAGTATATTCGCACAGGCGGACAGGAGAGATGGCGGAATAGAATCGCATGCTATCGACCCGTTAGATGTTTTACTAAGTACTTCTGAAACATTTGATACGGTAATTTTTAATTGATTCAATTGTATTTGAGCGTTTGGTTGTGCAATGCAGTCATAGGAGTTGATAGTAGCAGAATAAACAGAGACAAAATATTCATTGAAAAGTGCTGCTTTGGATATCGCAGAGCTTGCTTGTCGCTTCCCCCATGCTAGACAGCCAGGATAACCAGACGATGAACGTAAACTACGGAGAAACGAAAAACAATCATTAGTAGAATTGCACGAAACTCGATCAAAAAGTATGACCTTGTCAAGTTCGACTGATTCCTCGTAAGCCGCCTGAAGCCTGCTGATTGAGGCGTTGCTGTTACTTTCTTTGCGCTTTAACGTCTTGAATTTATTTAGCAAATGGATCGTATGAGACGAGTAGTAATATGGAAGACCAGAACGATTTTTGCTTTTTAAATTGCACGATCCCCGAAGCGCAGTTAGAATCGATTCGTAAATCTGATATGATACATCGGCATGTTGAGGAAGGCATGCCAGCTGGTAGACTTCGTGCAGATGCAAGTTAAACAAATCTGGCCGGAACAAGTTTTGACTAAAAACTGATGTACGAGCATAATTGCAAGGAATAAAATCCAGTGGAAAGGAGAAGAACACACCGAAGTGGTCTGAATATGGTTTTTCGGTAATCGATACGGATGTTTCTGTATTGGAGGACAGAATAACGTCTAGCAAATTCCCGTCAACATGTGAGGGCTCATCAAGAAGTTGTATGAAGTGCAAATCTTCAACTATTGATAGGAAATCAATCGAATAACAACTAATCGCCGCGCCAGATTTCCAACAGACATCAGGAAGATTGATATCACCAAGCACGGTAAAATATCTAGAGTCCGCTAAGATGTGGTTTGAATCGCAATTTTTCTTAAACCATTTATAACAAGACTGCAGGCAAACGGATAAATCTTCAATGGTTAGTCTATATGAGGACTGGGAAGGAACATTGTAGATTAGGCAAAAGCAATGTGCAAAGCTTGCTGTGTGTATTTCGATAGAGGCTGAAAAGTTAGAATATACCTTAGTGGAATATCGAAAATTACACGATTTTCTCATCGCAATAAGAACTCCTCCATGTTGTGTTGCTTTGCGCCCAGCTCGGCCGATAACAGTGTAGTCTCCGAATGGCAGGATGTCGCAGCTGTCAATATCACGTTTCAGCCACGTTTCGGTGAGGAACACGAGATCAGGCGAATGTAACGAAAGAAAATTTGAAAGTTTGATACGGCGATCAATTTTAATCAGGCTCTGTGTATTCAGAAGGCAGCATGAAGCCAATAGTCAGTCAGTTGGTACCAGCTCATTGTTATGATACAGCTTTAGGTTACGTATCCGAAGCTCTTTAGTATCAACGTTCTGCTTTATGAGTTCATTGCGTTTGATTAGTGCTTTTCGTTGCGCAGCGTGTTCAGTAGGATTTAGCGATTTTGGAATAAATATAGGTTTGTCAAAGGACTATTTTTGAGCACGTCTTCATTTTAAACGCGCGTTCTGTTCTATTCAAAATTTGTTTTTTTTTATCTTTGTTGGCAGTAATTTTACCAACTCCGATTTCAGTATATCAGTTTTTTTCGTGTTTCTTTTCTTTTTCCTTTGCTCGGCTCAAGGGGTTTCGGCTTTTATTATATCGGCTTGGCGACCTCATTTCGAGCCGTTTGATGAGCAATAGCAGGTTGTTATCTTAATCTTTTAGGGGAGACCTAAAATTTTTTTCTTAGTTGTTATTTGTATGATTTTTTTCGGTAAGTTTTTACCGCTCTGTAAGTTTTATTTCGACGCTCAATTAGCTTTCAATTGTCTTTCTTGGGAATTTATTGAAGACGAAGTCAAGACAAGAAAATTTCTGTAAATCAATTTTTTTGGTAATTTTTTTCTCATTTTCTGATAGTTAGTTTGCCATGCTATATTTTTCTGGTATCGCTAATGGTGCGAAGCTTTGCTCTGTCTCTGTGTTCAATTTCTTTTTTGTTTCCCAATTTCGATCTTGTTCGTGGTTCTGACTTTCTCGAATTGTCGATTTAAGTTAACGATTATTATTACAAACCCGGTGGTCGTCTTTCATTCCACGTTTTGTCTAGAATTGAGACATCGGAACTGGTTTAATTTTGACCAGTCGAGAATAATTACCTTTAAGGTTTTGAGGTGATTATTTTGGAATTGCTAAAGGAAAGTCCTGCTGAAATTGTTTTTCGTTCACCGCAGAGTGCATAACAGGCGTTCTGAATGAGAACCTATTTTATGGTTGGTATGAATTGGTTGGCAATACCCATTCTGGGCAAGGAATGTGAATAAGGCGTTCAAAATTGTTTGTAACCACATGGAGTTTAAAAATAGCCATGTTGTTCTCGAGTAAAGAGCTCAAGGTCGCTGATACGGCCTTCAGTTTTCAGGTTTTCTTCCATTTAGCAAATCAATATAAGTGAACCTAATAAAATCTAAGGTCAAAACACTTAAACTGGATATTTAGAATTTTAGATAACTCAGCAAAACCTCAAAACTAGTCTAAAATTCTAAATATCAAGTTTAAAAGTTTCTGTCAGTTCTATTTCCGTTTTTTTAGCGCCATTTATTTATCTGGCAGGGTTTTAATTGGTTCACTTTTTCAGCACTGTTTTTTTATATTAAACAGTTTTACTATAACTGAAACTTCACAAATTCGTTAATTTACCATTACCATGTCTGACTTCGAGTTTTTTTTTCATTTTTTTAATATTCAAAGAGTTTCCGTTTATGTGATATTGATTTAGTCAATTTTGTTTTCAAAATATATCCATCTGGGATTTTGAGTTTCAGTTTGGATGGGTCGTTAAAACTTTTAAATATAATGAAATGTTTTATGACAACAGTCTTGTTTTCGGCTCAACTGGTTTCGACCCAAAATTTGTTGCCTTTGTTGTCGCTAGATAAATGATTTTCGTTTTTAAGGGCTGTTTGTGAACTTCATTCGATACAATTAAGAAGTTTTCATAGCTGTAATTTTTCAACTTTTATCAATTT